ATATGATCTTCAATCTTAAAAACTAAATAATGGCTTTTGTCTTACAAAAAATAACGTAGTACAGTTTTGAACGTTGTTTCGAAACGTGAAGAAATTTTAAAAATTTTTTAAATCTTTGTACGGATTCCAATGTTTGTATAATTTTCTTACACATTCGAATAATTACTCTACCCATAAACGTGAAAACTTTCTAGAATTATGCAGATTGGTTTGTATACTGTATTAAGGGAATTAATGTTATTACGTTTTGATGTTACAAGTTGACGGGAGAGCCACGTGCATAGTCACGTGTCAAACCTCGAGAAAGGTAAGAATTTATAAAACTATTATTCATCATTAGCCTTTAAAGTTTGTTATAAAACTTACTTTATCCTTGAGAATGCGGTAATTACAATTTTATAATACTTGAGAATATAAAAAAATTTATAATAAAATACTATAAATACATACTGCCAAACAAAGTACAGTAGAGCGTCGTTTATCCGAATAAATTGGGGACTGGGGTGGTTCGGATAACTTATTTTTCGGATAACGAATCACGTACGAAAAAATATATTAATTTATCCTATGTTGAAATTTCTCTCCGTTGCGTGTCGCTTCGCGTTGAATTTTCGTCGATGTTAAGCCTAACAAAGACTATTGTATCGTTAAAAATTATTTTTTTATTTTGTTCAAACAAAATAAATTTATTGAAAAAAATAAAAACAATAAAAAATTGTACTTCAGATGTTAATTTAGTATCAAAAAGATATAATATTTGAGTAGCCCGAGAAATAGCCGAAGATTGCAGCGCCACAGCACTAGCGAAAATTTAAATTTGCCAACTGTAATGCTTTCGGATAAACGACGCTCTACTGTAGTAAATTTTCCCGGAAAATTAATTAATAATACTCTTTGAATTTTTTAAAAAACATTGACAGAAGTTTATAGTTTACTCTGCTAAAGATAAATATTTTAGAAAAAAAATCACGACGAATGTGTACAATTTATTGTAAACAAAATTTGTGATGCTAATTTTTTGCAGTGTTTATTCTGCACTTATTTTTATAACTTTTCAGTAAATATACAAACATAAAATTAATAAATTATTTTTTGTGATTATCAATTTGAATATTGACCATCCTATCCATGAAAAAACAATTTTTCAAAAAATTACATAAACCAAAAGAATTTTTAAAGTTTTCTATACCTACAGATTGTATTTCTAACACAATAGATCATTAATAATCTGAAGGTTGCAGATAAGCATGACAAAATTCTCGGAAACAATTTTACCCAAGACAATTGCTGATAATACGTAAAAGTTTTCCGCTAATTTCAAAAAGTTATACAATGCCCGGAAATTTTACATAAAAGAAGAGTTAAAATATAAGAATTCGAATCTCTACCTGCCCTTATATTTTGAAGCGCTTTTATGTATTTATTTTATTTTATTTTTATTTTATTTTGTTTTATTTATTTTATTATATTATTTATATCAGTGTATTTGGTACATTTTATTTTGTTATTTATTTGTTAATTTATCTATACTTTTTGTTTTAATTAAATTTTAATGTATAATGTTCGAACGTTCTCGCGTCACAGTTTTAAAATACGTTCGAACTCATTTACACCTGAAAATTTCATAAAACCGAAAACGTTAATGATTTATTAAATTTTTTTAGCGATAGAAGGAGTTTAATGTTCTATTAAGTGTATAAAAACTTGCTATAAACAGGCTCAAAACACCTCGAATAAAAATTTTCGATATCATCAATTAATTTTAATTGGAACATAACGTTAACATTTATATTAAAATCAACTAAACGTTTTAATTATTTTTTTAATGTAAATTTATCTCTTGTATATAATTTCATCAATACAGTACTTTTTGATAATTTTTCTGTTATACGCTATACATTATAAGAAATTCTAATTCACAAATTTTAAAATTCGAAATATAAAGCGCAAAAGTAATTTACAATCGCCACATGTATAAAAAAATACATCAAGAAAATCAGGTGAAATTACCATTGTTTGCAAAATTGATTGTATTTATATAACAATACTAAGCAGAAGCTATATTTTTAAAACGATGAAATTATTCGACATTCGAAAACTGGAATTATTGGAAATATTAATTCGCATTAAAATACTTTATCGAATAATAAAGAAATAAAAAGTGCTCGTAAATAGACAAGATGAATATTTTCATTTACATTGATTATTGTCGCCTTGTTTGTCGTCTCTCTCTGCTCGTTGAGGGCCTTTTTTTTTATTTCAATTGTATATTCGGCCAAATACAGAATGGGTACCAATCGTTGTTGAGAAGAAAGACTAATTCCCTGGAATTTTGTTCCCGCTGGANATATATATATATATATATATAATAATCTTTTTAAATTATGAATTTCTATTTTATTCTTCGACACAATTCTGCATGTCTTTCGTTTGTTTTATAAAAATTATATTGTACAAATAACAGTTTATATCTATATCAATATAATGAAATTTTTGGTAATTTTATAATCTTCTACACGAAAAAGCCAACAACCAGTTGTGTTACTGAAGCAGCCAAAGATTCAAATCGTATGGATTTTTAAAAACCTTTTTATATTATTTATTATTACAAAATGAGAAAAAGTTTAATTTTAAAAATGATATTTTTTTAAAAAATTGCAAATGTTAATAAGTAGTAAAATCTTCATTATAATCGAGCTCAGTCGAGATATGGCAATCGACCACTTTTACCTTTTTATCCTTTGACTTTTAAGCACGAAAATTTAATAGCATCAATCCAGTTAATATCGATATCGCGCTGCAAACTTTCAGACATTTCTAACAAGTGCCACTACAGTTATTAAAAATCAAATTGGATAAACAAAATGCTCCTATACTGACACAAACATCCATACATACAGGAAAAACAGCCAAGTTTTTTGCATTTCTCGAAGTTTGTAAGTCTCGAGAAGAAAGTGTAAAAATCTTAAAATCATTGAGTTAGTTTTTGAACAATCGCCATACTTTCCTTTGTTATCTACAGAACCCGAAAAAATAAAAACGTAAATGTCAGCCATCCGTACAATTTTAGATTTCTATCTTGTCCAGTTGACTTTCGTCATCATAAAGTTCTGCCAAGTGATTAACGCAATGACATAAGACATTGCAGCAATATTCAATAGCCATTGTTTCCAACTTCGATTCTTTTGTTAGAAAATTATACATTATTTTATTTCAGTAAATATAATGAGCACGCATCAAGAAATATATGAAACATTATCGATATAATTTTTTTAAAAATTCTTATAAGGTTGGTATTCGAACTTAATTTTCTTTGTTAGAAATCCAGCATAATTCATAAGACATTATTGCTTTATAGCCGATGATAATAGGAAATCGGATTTATTATAATCTTCGTTTTATATTCTCATGCAGACAAAAACTCGTACGTTTAGTATACACTCATTACATATTCTTTTGTATGCATTTCACACTCGAGTAAGGTCTCATTTGATGAATAATTCGAGGCTGCATTATGAAAAAATGGAAAAAAATGTCGAAATATCAATAAGTTTGTAAGCATTATTTTTATATTTTAATTATACTGTTAAAATAAACGTAATTAATAAACATACAATAATCAAAAACAGGCAATTACGTATAATGAGTACATTTTCGGATGCGCTTCCTAAATGAATGTGATCTGCCAGTTAAATCAATTTTACGTCATACTCTCAATATATTATTAAATTCTACCAAATGAAATATATGCCAAAAATCTATTATATTTGATAAATTAAGAAATTACGTACAAAATCGAACTGCACGCATAATATTACAGAACTTATTTCTGTACTGTCGTAATCGGTGATGAGTTCATACTTCACTAACAAGCTCGTAGCTTAGAATTTCCGAAAATTTCCACACGTGTCTAACAGCAATAATACAAAAATTTTCATAAAAATCCAAATATCCAAAAAACAATTCGGAGGGCTCAATCGACTGAGTTTTTTTGAATACGGAAAGTTTTATCATTCTATTTCTTAAACATGTTTAAGAAAAAAACTATATTTTCGAAAATATTTTTATTACGACACATTTTTAAGATTGATAATGGCCGTCACTATTCATAGAATTCGTGAATACTTCAATCATGAAAACAATGCACAATAGACAAATTACGTTGAAGTCATTTTTCTTCTTCAAATGACTGCTACCGAATTAACTTGTTTCATCGATAAAAGTCGTGCGCTACGAACGAAAAATTAACTAAAGTTTGAAATATTTTTTATTAAAGTTAAAGATATAAACAATATTTTAAAAAGAACATAAATAAACCCACTTTTTTTTATTTTTACAAATGTAAATCATTGATAAATGAAGAATAAAGAAATCCCATATTTTTAACGCATGAAAAAGTACTCATTCAGCAGATAAGTTTCACTGTTTAAAGAATTAAAAAATTTTTTGCTAGTCACATGAAATACAGTTAAACATTTACATTTTCCTTACTGCCAGTTTTTCAAAAAGACAGTAAAACAAAATAAAAAATAGCCGTTCATTAAAGATTAATTTGTATTCAAATTTGTTAAAATCAATGTTTTTCAAACCGCTCAATTAATTAAAAGGTTTTTACAGTCGTGTATCAGATAATATTTTAGTAAACTTAATTTCAATATAAATGTAGTAACGCTCAGTCAAAACGTTTTTGACAGAAAAATAAGAGACACTATTTAACAAAGTAGCTTCAATTGGTAATTTCAAACGAAATTCACCAATGAGACCTAAAACAGAGAGACTGTATTACGTCACACAGAACCATTACAGTTACATAAGCACTGAGTAGAATTTTCCTTAAGTATTAAAAATTCTCAGATTTCTACTCAGAATTTTTAATACATAAGGAAAATATTTTTAAAACTCAGAGTGACTACATTCAATCAGATAGAATCAATCATCGTTAAGCATTTTATGCTCAATATTGTTAGAAAAATTCAGGATTTTCTTAATTCAAGATAGCGATGAATAAACAGGTAAAAATCAGTCGACAATATTAAACATTTCAAATGCATATGCTAACGTAATTTTTATTTAAATTTTTTAGGTAAGAAGAATCGACACTTCGAAGAAAACGAAATGCTTGTGTCTGACTAACACCGTGTCCAGTATAATTGGTCGACTTGGTGTAATAATAAGTCGATATCCCCTTTATTTTATTATTGCTCCTGTCATTTTTTCTGGTTTATTATCAATTGGGCTGATTAGAATTCAAACCAATGACGACACCGATTTTCTCTTAACTGCGGACAGAGGTAAAGTTTTTCATGCTAAACAGTTTATAGATAAGACATTTCCTATCAATTCAAATAATTTCGATTTTTTACGACTTGTTAAACGCCCACTTTTTCCAATGATCTACATAGTAAATGACAGAGAAAGCAACATTTTACGCAAAGAATTCTTAAACGAGATACAAATTGTAGATAATATTGTAAAAAATACCACAGTTTATGTACATGGTAATAACATCGTTTATTCGAACGTGTGCCAGACTGAAGATGGCAAATGTTTAGGAAATACTCTTATTAATCTGCTAAACAAGTCCGAAAATGCTATTCATGAAATATTAAGGATGAAATATCCTGTCAATATGGATCCTGTAACATACGCGTACAAAATCCTTTGCCTGAATTTAGGAGGGGTGATGACAGACGTCAAAGGATACATAAGTGTAGCAAAAGCCGTTCGTTTATTGTATGTACTAGATGAATCGAATGCAAGTAAAAAGAAGTGGAATGAAGAATGGACAAAGGCAGTTTACAACAAGTTGAAAGATTATAGCTTCGAGCATATTAAAACATTTCCCGATCCGTTCTCGTCTACCGATTATCAAGTAAAACGCATTTTGCAGAAATTAGTGCATTTGATAAGTGTGGCTGTGGTCGTAGTGGCCGTTTTCTCTATCACCACAAACATGACTAACAATTGGGTGAAGTCAAAACCCTGGTTGGGCGTATCTAGTGTCGTATCCGCCGGTTTGGCTGTAGCCACGACGTTTGGTTTATTATCCGCCTGTGGAGTAGAAAATCTTCAGTGGAACGTCAGTCTTCCTTTCATTATTCTTGGTAAGATATATCATAAAATACTTTTAAATACCAATACATTTTGCTTTAGTAATTTCTATTGTTTTGACATATTAAAGGTACGGAAGTGGACGACTCGTTTGTCGTATTGGCTTGTTGGAAGGTAACAGATTGCGATGACAGCGTAGAAAAACGAATGGAACAGACGTATCGCAACGCAGCAGTGTCCATCACCATAACGTCTCTGACGAATTTCTTCTCCTATTGTATTGCCATGACGTCACCATTCCCGGGTGTAAGAATATTCTCTTTGTATGCCGCAACGTGCATCTTCTTCAGTTATTTCTTTCAGTTGTTTTTCTTCGGCGGATGTTTGGCATTAAGCGGATACAGGGAAGAGAAGAATCTTCATCCTTTTACATTTAAACCAGCTTTTGGTAAAAATTTTCAAATTTATTAACCTGTATTAGTAATTATTTTCACAGATTTTCTAATACAGTAGAGCCTCGAAAACTCGGCCTAATGTTAGCCGAAGTGTGGCCGAGTTTGTAAAAATGCCGGGTTATCGGGAATAAGGTTAAAAAATAAGTATGAGTGTTTTCTCAGAAAACACTGTACTGTACTTATAGTATTGTTTACTTGAGAATACAACAGAGAATAAACTGCCCAAATACCCTTAAACAATGGAAAAGTACGTCTTTTATGAAAGCATAGAGTTTTTACTACATGAAAATGAAAATTAATGAATACATTGTTTACAGTAATTTACCTGATAAAAAAGACCTCAGAAAAATACTTTATGAGAACGTTTATACTTTTATAAAGCTGTCTATAATGAAAATTAATTAAGGATTTTTTGCCCTGCCAGGATGTGGCCGAGTTATCCGGAGAGCAGGGTTATCGAGTGCCGAGTTTTCGAGAGTCTACTGTAATGATTTATAGAGTATAGTTCTACACACTATTTTCTTTATTGAAATAGCATTTTATTTAAAAGATTATACAGGCTTTTGTTAACTGACTCTATTCAATGAGAACTTTGTTGTAGATTGGAAATAACAAAAGTAGTAAATATTATTTCTTATGTGTTTTAATTATAATTTATGTTATATATTTTAACATGTGTAAACGTTAAAAGTGAAAGTTATATTTTTGAGTGAATGTGACAAGAAACAAAAGCTTTAATTTTAATAATACATATATATCAATTACTTTAACGGTTATGTTAACATATACTTTAACATAACGGTATGTTAAAGTATATTAACATAACGGTTTACCCTATATTCTTAATATAAGGTACAATTGCTGAAGTCATTTTTTTACATTTTAAATTCAATGGCGAGGCAACAGCGACTGTAGCGGCAGTAAGATGTACAGGTACAGTACACTTCAGTCAACACTATAAATTCACGTAGTGAGTATCTGTCACCGATGGCGAAGTAACAAATTTTCTCAACAAATAAGTTTATTATTGTTTTCTTATAATTTTCCGTATATGTTTGGTAGCTTTGTCACAATTAAATTATTTATAAACTCATGCTTTTTTTACGTGTTCATTGTGTAGTATTCTAAATAGCTGTTTTCTCGAAACATTTATTCAGTGTGTTTCTGTGTTTATTTAAAATGTAACTCGTGCCATGCCTTATGTCGTACTCACGTAAGATTTTCAAATCGTATATGTACTATTTAACGAATTACTCTCGCTGTTATTAACATTTATCTGCAAAGTGTCAGTAGAAGTGAGATAATACATTCAAAAACATATAATATTGCTTGCTTTGTAATATGTCATTTTGATTATCTTTTTTTTTTTTTTTGTTTAAAGTTTGAACGAATTTATAATAGAAAGAATAAGATATGTACGAGCCATTAAGATTTGTGCAGAAACAAGTGATATAAATTAAGCCTTTAATGAAGCGCTAGACAATATAAAATCTCTAAATCAATTGTACGACGTCTCGTCGAAATAAGAAAATCAAATTCGGAAAAGTCTAAAAGTTTGACTGAATAATATGAAGAAAGAGTGAAACATGTTTTTAGTTTAGAATTACGTTTTTTGGGCTTACGCAGCTGATCTACAAAAACTGGCGCTCCAATTTGTTGAAAAAATATAAATTACTGTACTCTTGTATTTTAATTAATATTTACTATTGAATTTATATTTTAACACAGAGAAAACAGTGCCGTGTTAAAAACATTCTACAAATTCATGAAAGATAACCTTTTCTTGTCTTTACACACTTCAGTGGCAACCTTAATGGCAAGAGCAGAAAATAAAATGCAATAAGCAGTTGTTAGATACAAACAATGAAACTGAAAAAGATAAAACAAATTTAAAAAAAGCGATCGGCTTTGTAATCGTGGTGTAGAAGATCGTGAGGAATACATGTTCAGTGCTTGAAACTTAAGACACAGGCGCGTGATCTATTTACTAGAGTTTACAAAGAAAAAAAGAAAATGTTGGTGATATTTGTAATAACTAAATGTTAGTACGAAAGACGTTAATTAACAAGTTTTGAGTACCACATAGAATTTTAATTTTTTGTGACAGATTCTACAATTTATACTTACTTTTTCTTATGGAGTATGACTTGAGAAAGTTAACCTACAACGAAAATGTCCTTCCAAGATTTCTATATTTTTCAAATTAGGGGACTTTGCAATGTAAAAAATTTTATAATTTTCAGGTTTTTTCTGTATATATGAATAATAGCGCGTTTAATGACAAGTTTTTGTTTTCCGTTTTCAAAGCTGAATAATGCATGTACTTTCTATCGAAAATTTTTGTAATTTTGCAGGGAGGTTCGTTTATTCGGTAGATTAAAGATTTTAAATTATAGTAGTTAAAAGAAGGGGAATTAAAAAAATATTGCAGGTCGTATATCTTGACGAAGGTCGTGTATACAGACGTTATTAAAATTTACAATTTTTTATAAAACTCGTCTCTACTATGAAAAAAAGCTTTTTGTCACTTCATGACTATTAAAATTTAATAAGTTTTTCAAAAAGTATCGTAACAAATCGCGCCACATTGATTTTTGAAGGTTGTGGAAAAAGTTATTCAACTCGTTGCTGGATTTTTTCATTGTTTTCACAATGAATCTTTCGTTTTCTAAATCTGCTGTAACATAGAATAGCTTTCATCCATTAATAAGCCGTTCTATTTAATAAATTATTGACAATTGGTACGTAAAATATTTGTAATATTAAATGTTTTTTACTAAAATTTTCAATGATATTTTGTATCTTAAGGTTTCTTTACTATTATAAAATTTTATATAGATCAACTTAATTCAACTTTATAAAATATTTTAATTTTACAGAAACTATTGGACAAAGTGACTATTACAAGGAAGAAAATGAAGACTGTTTTATGAAGTTTTTCAGAGATACATTTTCAGCTTTTATTTTTCATCCTGTATCACGAATTATTATTATCTCTTTGTATTTTATATTATTGTCAATAGGCATATGGGGTGTTATGTCCTTACAGGAAGGGCTGAATGTTTACAAACTCAATTCAGAAAGTTCTGAAATTACACAGGGATTTCAAGTTTTTTATAAATATTTTACAGAATATCCTTTCACTGTGCACGTCGTAATTAACGAAACATTAGATTATTCTAATCCACGAGTTCAAGAATCAGTTAATGATTTCATGGAAAAATTTCACACTATTGAAAATATAGCCGGATACGAGTACGAATTTTCTTGGTTAAAATATTTTAAGAAATTCCAAAATCATCCCTTTTCGAAGTATTCCTTAAGGGGTTACGATCTGTCTCAGAAGCAGGATTTTATGGATGCTCTTAGAAACGTCTTTTTGAAATTCACAGGAGCCAAGCAATTTAACAATGACATTATCTTTAATGACAATTACACTGATATTGTAGCCAGTCGTTTCTTATTCATAGGTAAAAATGTTTCGGACAGAGTAACGGAATTCAAAATAGTAAACGATTTATCGAAAATAGTCGAAGAAGCGCCATTTTCTGTTGTAATTCATACAATAATAACACCTATGGCCGAACAAGGAATAGTAATCAGACAGATAGCGTTTCAACTGTTCTGGATCACTGCCTTGTTAATTTTTTTCATTTTTGTTTGTCTAATTCCGAATTTGCATTGCGCTGTTATCGTCGCTATCTGCGTCGTGTCCATCACGGTACAGACAATCGGATTTATGTCTTTATGGGCGATCAATCTAGACATTCTGTCTCTGATGTGCTTGATTCTCTGCATTGGGTTTTCTGTTAATTATCCCACTCACATATGCTATTGTTTCATTTCTTCACCAGAAGGAACGACTGAAGAAAAGTTAAAGGATAGTTTACGTCACGTAGGTTTCCCGTTAATTCAAGGAGCAATGTCTACTGGATTAGTATTGTTAATCATCGCCTATTATAATATATATGTATACACCACTTTCGTTAAAATCGTTTTCGTAATTGTACTGCAAACCACATTTCACGCATTATTTGTAATTCCTATAATAATCTTCACAACTGCGCCATGTATAACAACACGTGAAGAAAACAGAGCATCCATACTTTTTGAGTGCACATAGATATTATCATTTATAAATGTACTCGTTATTTTTTTACATACTCAAGTCTTATAAATGGGCATATGTTAACGAAGATCAATATTGCTTAAATTTGCTTTGATAATTTAAAAAATTCCAGATGTTTGAAAATTATTTTCAATGAGTTAGAATATTCTATACATGCTTTTTAACAGGAGCAAACTATATATTTCCGACTGGATTGAAATCTTTAAGTACAGCAAGAAATAACAAAAAGTTGCTGGCAGTCAAACATTTTTTAGGAGCAGCGAGCTAATAAAAAAAGTAGTTGATTAAATTAAATCTGATTTTGACATCATGTACTCACTATAGCATAGAATTATAACAGCAATATGATATGAGTGGTTTGAGAATTGGTTCTACAAAAACGTTTCATTATATTTAACGATGAAAAATGAGAAAGTATTGTTCTCTGGTTTATTTAATAATCAACTTTTATTGTCTTGGTAAGGTCGCTTTTGTTCAAAGTTCTTTCTAATTTACGTAAAATTACCTGTCTTGTATCATGCAATAAAAAAGATTCCTCAATAAAGTTATTCTAGAAATGTTTATAATAAATAGTTTGAATTTAATTGATTGAATAAGCATTATTTTTGTCCAATAAGAACGTATTTGACATTAAATTAACATATACAAGTATAACAGGGTTTTGGGCCTCAACGGTTCGGGTGGTCCGTATTCTGCCGATCCACTGCGTTCGTGGTGGGTCCGAAGGTTGCGATCGAAAACGGACCCGATTTTGGTCCTGGGCCGTATCTTTTCTTCTTGCGGACTCGTTCCTATTACTTGCCCCTCGATTGCTATCATGATTCCCTCTACGATTAGGAAAATTTTGGGACCGATTTTGGTTATTTTGATTATTCGGGAACACGGATCGACGATTACTCGGACGATATCCATTCCGGTTGGGAGGTGGCGTATCATAAGTCCGATTATTATAATGCCCTCGCGAATTTTGACTGGCAGAAGGATACCTATTAGTTCGAGATGGGCCTCGGGTTAAACCATCCATTCGGGCTTTTAGCTCGTTCATCGCTGCCGTTAATTCTTGTAAATCATCCGATGAATTTGTGGTTCGATTGTCTTCTCGGACCGTCCGCATGATTCCGCGAGAATGTGCGGTCATGTTCTCGATCATTTCTTCGCTTATAGCAACTTTTAACGCCTCATCAAACGTAGCTGGCTCTCGTGACATCGTTCGTTGCCGTATGCGTAAATCTATGCCGTTCAAAAACTGCGCTTTTAACCGTTCATCTAGCTCTTTTGCTTGGACCCGTTGTACAATAGCAGTTTCCTCTTCATTGGCGCCGGGCTCCGGTGTGATCACTATCTCTATCGCCAGAGATTGTAGACGAGCGGCATACGCTTGCACATCTTCATCTCGTTTCTGTACGCAAGTATAAAATTTATTTAGTCGGACCGGAAAAGGTTCGCGTTCAAAGCGCTCTATCATTATACGTTTGAACTCCTCAAATTCCTCCACAGTTTTAATTCGGCGATCCTTCCGGACGAATTCTCGGGCTATTCCCGTTAATTTCAACTTAGCTACCGCTAGCATCTATTTTTATTACCTTACCGCTAGCATCTATTTTTATTCAACTTAGCTACCGCTAGCATCTATTAGCATTTTAAAAGCACTATTTTTATTGATTTAATGATTTAAGAGGTTCTTTTGAAATTATTTTTACTTCAATAGGCAACTTTATTGTACAACTTGTAAGATTACTATTTTTTAAACTATGTTTCTAGCAGCATAATTAATAAAATAATGGTTTCAATGGAAGCATTTATTAACGATAAACCTTTACATTATTTTCCGAATGTAAAAAATAATTCTAATAACCCTGTACATCACTTTAAAATCCGTTTTTTTTGGGGTTGATGCAAAGCTAGGAAACGTGGCTTTTTTAAATCATATTTATGAAGCTGAATAACTAAATAACTTGTTTTAATTAAATATTCTAGTATTAAAATCACTTATAAATCATTTCTACAATCTAAAAAAATATTTTAGAAGTTTTCTAGACCACTTTAAAAACAGTTTATATGTTGAAGTAGAGCGAGAAAGTGCACTTTTCGAATCATATTTATGTGGTTTATATGTAGAAAACAATCAAGTTAATGGTTTTAATGCAACCATTTATTATTAAGCCACACTTCAAATAATCTTTTAAAATCAGAAAATAGCTAATAAATTCCGTTAAACTATTTTAAAAACACGTTTATCTCATAGATGGAGATCCATTGTATGAGTTCACCTTACTAGATATCGGCATTCTAATGATATCGAAATAATCCTAGGGGGTGTGAAGTACGACAAACAAATTTAGGTCCCTAAATACTAGCACTAGAGTTAATGTTACAAAGTTAGCTTTGAAGACTATTAGTAATAAAAGAGCGGAACCATCGAGAGAGGGTGTTAGAAATTGTATGGAACTGTTCTAGTTAGTCGCACATGCATGCCTATAGGCCGCTTATCAGTCTAAAACGTAGAACAATGTTTAGAAAAGGGACTCTCATTATAATACATGTTTTCCGAGAGTATGGTTAAGATAATTAACAATGGCTTAATGAAGTGTTATATTGACATTTACTAGGGTGACAAGTTGACATGTGACAAACATTGAAGCTAATTCCCGCATCATTCCAGCCAAGTTTCCAACATATATTTAGACTTATTTATTTATTACTTATATAGTAAATTGTTAAATATGTTGATCACTGTTAAAGGAGTTTAAATAACGGAGCTTCACGCTGCAACAACATCAGCCATCTGGCAGAAAGAGCATTGCACACGGCGTGACAAATGACATTTTTCACTGTTTACGAGAGCAACAGCTGATTTCTCTGATTAATAGGCTCTTCTACATTCTGGAACAGCGTAAATTTCCCACAATTCACAGCACACTGTCCGGGGGCATGCGTAGTAAAATGGGAAACCAGCTGTCGCTTGGATGAATAAGAAATAATTTTGCAAATCTGAAACTCTTTTTAGTTTGTCTTTCCTTCCCTCTCTCTCTCTGGCTGACTGCCAGATGCATCTGGAAACTGCGCTTTTCCGTGTGCTTGAATATTCAGTGCCTTGGACGACGAATCTTCGCTTGCTGATGTCACCATTCTACTGAAAAACAACTTAAAAATCTAACTTTCATAATTTAACTTTGCGATTTTTATCTTTCTCCTCCTTCTCCTCTTTCTNTATTATATTATTTATATCAGTGTATTTGGTACATTTTATTTTGTTATTTATTTGTTAATTTATCTATACTTTTCGTTTTAATTAAATTTTAATGTATAATGTTCGAACGTTCTCGCGTCACAGTTTTAAAATACGTTCGAACTCATTTACACCTGAAAATTTCATAAAACCGAAAACGTTAATGATTTATTAAATTTTTTTAGCGATAGAAGGAGTTTAATGTTCTATTAAGTGTATAAAAACTTGCTATAAACAGGCTCAAAACACCTCGAATAAAAATTTTCGATATCATCAATTAATTTTAATTGGAACATAACGTTAACATTTATATTAAAATCAACTAAACGTTTTAATTATTTTTTTAATGTAAATTTATCTCTTGTATATAATTTCATCAATACAGTACTTTTTGATAATTTTTCTGTTATACGCTATACATTATAAGAAATTCTAATTCACAAATTTTAAAATTCGAAATATAAAGCGCAAAAGTAATTTACAATCGCCACATGTATAAAAAAATACATCAAGAAAATCAGGTGAAATTACCATTGTTTGCAAAATTGATTGTATTTATATAACAATACTAAGCAGAAGCTATATTTTTAAAACGATGAAATTATTCGACATTCGAAAACTGGAATTATTGGAAATATTAATTCGCATTAAAATACTTTATCGAATAATAAAGAAATAAAAAGTGCTCGTAAATAGACAAGATGAATATTTTCATTTACATTGATTATTGTCGCCTTGTTTGTCGTCTCTCTCTGCTCGTTGAGGGCCTTTTTTTTTATTTCAATTGTATATTCGGCCAAATACAGAATGGGTACCAATCGTTGTTGAGAAGAAAGACTAATTCCCTGGAATTTTGTTCCCGCTGGAATTCCCCAGATCAGTAAGGTTGACACCTTAAACGTCTCGGAAATCCCGCTGAAAAAAAAAAAATATATATATANTCTATTAGCATTTTAAAAGCACTATTTTTATTGATTTAATGATTTAAGAGGTTCTTTTGAAATTATTTTTACTTCAATAGGCAACTTTATTGTACAACTTGTAAGATTACTATTTTTTAAACTATGTTTCTAGCAGCATAATTAATAAAATAATGGTTTCAATGGAAGCATTTATTAACGATAAACCTTTACATTATTTTCCGAATGTAAAAAATAATTCTAATAACCCTGTACATCACTTTAAAATCCGTTTTTTTTGGGGTTGATGCAAAGCTAGGAAACGTGGCTTTTTTAAATCATATTTATGAAGCTGAATAACTAAATAACTTGTTTTAATTAAATATTCTAGTATTAAAATCACTTATAAATCATTTCTACAATCTAAAAAAATATTTTAGAAGTTTTCTAGACCACTTTAAAAACAGTTTATATGTTGAAGTAGAGCGAGAAAGTGCACTTTTCGAATCATATTTATGTGGTTTATATGTAGAAAACAATCAAGTTAATGGTTTTAATGCAACCATTTATTATTAAGCCACACTTCAAATAATCTTTTAAAATCAGAAAATAGCTAATAAATTCCGTAAACTATTTTAAAAACACGTTTATCTCATAGATGGAGATCCATTGTATGAGTTCACCTTACTAGATATCGGCATTCTAATGATATCGAAATAATCCTAGGGGGTGTGAAGTACGACAAACAAATTTAGGTCCCTAAATACTAGCACTAGAGTTAATGTTACAAAGTTAGCTTTGAAGACTATTAGTAATAAAAGAGCGGAACCATCGAGAGAGGGTGTTAGAAATTGTATGGAACTGTT